GACCACCATTGTAAGGGGGGCATTCTCCACTGACCATCAGTGTAAGTGGATATTACACTTACGACCAATATAAGGGAGCACCAAACTTATCACCAATGTAAGTGGTTATTACACTGACCACCAAGGTAAGAGAGCACCAAACGTACCACCAATATAAGGGGGAAATTCTCCACTGACCACTACTGTAAGAGGGCAATTTTTCACTGAGCACCAATGTAAAGGGAAAATTCTTCACTGATCACCAATGTAAGAGCACACTTTTCTACTGATCACCAATCTAAGGGGGGCACTAAACTGACCACCAGTGGAAGGGGCACCTCTCCACTGATCACCAATGTAAAGGGGGTACTATCATATTCATCATCTGTATTTTTTTTTCTGAACATTGTTTTTATTTGTTTCATTTTTAAATTTACCTAAAAATAATTGTGTCAAATACAGCAGGGGATGTTAAACATGATCCGCTCTAGGTATCAAATACATCACGTTCTTTATTCTTTTATTTATTATTTCTATTTACTGATGACGCTATTGCACTATAAGCTTTAGATGTAATATTTTTTTACCGCGGTTCCCTGTAAACCTGAGCACTATTTTAAGGATTCCTTAGTGGTGACAATGTTGAGAAAACCTGGTTTAGAACTAGAGCTGATTTATATAAAAAAATAAAATCAATGTGTCACATGAGAAAAAAGACAGTAGACTGGGATGCTGCTAAAATCATGCTTACATTTTAAATGCAAACTATCCTTCCCAAATACTTAGCAGTGGAAAATCACTCATTTCTGGCACTCTTTAGTTAAATTTTCATCTTCTTAGCAGCAAATGTCAGAGAAGCTCTAGATACTTATCTGTGCCTGAACACTAGACAATCAGTGAGTGAATTGTTACATTACATTGTATCATTAATTTGAATACTGAGAGCCTGAAACACATTATTTTGATTACAGAATTGCTACAATTCCAAGCATTCTAGTGTTCCAAATTTCTATTTCCCCAAAAGACAATATTTCTAGTCATATATAAAGGAGGAACCCTTAATGGCACTTGCAATTGCTCCACTTTTCCTCCAGGTTATAGCCAGTGGAATATATGCTGCAGTTTACAGATAAAGACACTGCTACATATCCATAGATTTGTGTTTCAGCTAGGCAATAGCAATATTCCCTGGTCATTTAAAAGCTTAATGGGCTTTACTTGTCATCAACATAAAAAATCATGGTATCCCCTAGCAATTAATCAGAGACTTCCTTTCCGTGCAGTTTAGTGGTTGCCGGGGGTTACTACATTTTAGTGCTGTTTCCACCAACTTACATTACTTACTTGTCAGTTATACCTGTATAATCTAGGCCATGTTGAACTTAAGAATAACACTTCACTATTTCTCTGAGAGCACATCTGTTCGGATAGCAATGATTTAGTATGCGGTTGAAATAATTCCTGTGTTCTATGAATCCTAAAGTAAGATAGGGGGTTGCAAATAAGGGATCTGCTGAAAACACTTTGGTCAGTCAGACAGTATATGTATTGTTAGTACTAAATTAATAGGAAATCCATCTCTGATACGTTTAGCTGTGAATATTTTTGAAAGTCCAAAAGCTTTCTTTACTATATTATATAACTGATTCTATATATTCTGATTATATAATTGATGCTATAAGGAGCTTGGCATATAGTAAATATGGCGTGACGTTCAAGAGTGTCTTCATGAAAAGTGCGTTGTTATCTCATAGGATTGATATATTCGTTATGGTATATTGCAGTGCTTACTCATCAGGTGGTAAGTGTAGACATTGATGAATGATCCCCTTATGACACACGCACATGCAATTATATTGTCCAAGATAATGTCATTTAATGATGACTATTGATCATAATACTGCAGAGATTATTCTACAGCCCATTCTTTTAATGACAAATAAATGCAATACATTCAGAATGGTGGAATTGTTCTAGAACAATGGCGAAATATTCCTTTTAATTGTCTGTGTCAGTCATAACACATTGTCTAACTTGATGTTTAAGTTTAATAAGTCCATTCTCTGCTGTGTCTGATAATAGATAATTAAATGAACTACTTTGAATATATGCATATAAGGATCATTAAAGTATAAATGACAATTTTGGTGACAACAAGTATTCACACATTACAGGATTCATAACACAAAGAAGGTGTTGTATCTTTCAATTTAATTTTATATTTAGAATCTACAGTCATGATTTTGCAATATTGTGCTTATCACTGTCTATTCCTAATAACAGCATCACATTAAATATTTTAATGACATAAGGTAAAACAGACACTGTTATTATAAGAACACAAAACGATATTTTCAACGAGTAACAAGATTGTTTTCCTTGCCAGTCTGTCTAAATATGTCAAGTACACTAGACATAAAGTTCATACCAGTGTCTGCTCATTTGTGTTGCTGGACGACAGTGCTAACTACTACCAAAGCAACGAAGTGCCAAGACACCCTTAGCTTTATGGTAGTATAAACTGTACATGGTATTCTTTGCATGCCTATTATTTGTATCAAACATTTATTTATAAGCCCTAATATCTTACAATTATTGTTTAGATATAAAACCAATTCATTTTTATTCACTTAATTAGGAAACCTTTATGACTATTCCAATTGATGAACATTTTATACTATTAATACGTATGTATAATAACACTGTAACATAACCAGGCCAACCCAGAAAGCAATACTATATCTTGGTGTGTACTTCATCTGTGCCTACCTGCTCTCAAGACTATGGTAAGGATACAAATGTCCTTTGATCTTGCACTAGGTACATACAATGTCAACAAATACATAAGGTGTTTTGACATGCATCCTAAAGAGAATAGAAAATGATGCTTTATGGATTCACTTTGATAGCACTGTGAAGGGCAGGAGAAGTTTACCCTGCCAACAATTCCTAACAGGAATGAATTGTGCTTTGATCCATCAGTAGGGAGAGTTCTGTGTGTCTTTTCATAAGAGTTCAGAGAAAGCAGGGTTGTAAGGATTGGCAAGGGAGCTGCGGGATTGTAAGGAATGACAAGGTAGCTGCAGGAGTATAAGGAATGACAAGGGAGCTGCAGGATTGTAAGGAATGACAAGGGAGCTGCAGGGTTGTAACTATTGGCAAGGGAACTGCAGGATGGTAAGGGATGGCAAGGGACCTGCAAGATTGTAAGGAATGACAAGGGAGCTGCAGGAGTGCAGGGAATAATAGAGTTCAATCAGCTCCTCAATGTATTGCCAATAATAACCTACCTAGTAATATTCCAATAAAGTCTGCAATCAAATAATATATTATCTTATCCTGGTAAAAATAATTCAGGAATATTATCTCTTTAAGCTTTAGTTGTCAATAACATGTTTGATTTGCGATCACTTTGCTACTGCATATTGTAATTTTTCTGCTACATTCAGAATATTATACACATACTGTATATAAGCTCATCTTATATGTCTACATTATCGGCAAACTGTAGTGAATTCAGAAAAGGATCAGTCTACAATCATAACAAGCACTACTTCCACTAAGTGTACTTCTGACAAGCCCATGATGACCATTCTGTCTGCTAAATTAAATCAGAATGGCAGTTTAATATTTTTTGGCAAATAGTACATTTTGCAAAAAAGAGTATATTTTGTATCTATTAAAACACATTCTATCTTTGATATGTACATATGTACAATTAGGGGCATATTTACAAGTAGTGAATGTGACTTTCACCAAAATTAATTGGTGAGGAGTCAATTAATGTCATTTAAATCACATACACCTGGAAGACTCACCTACAGTTTGGCGCATGTCACATTCACTGATTTCAGCATGCATGTAAAACTCAGGAGTTAAACCTTAAAACTACATTCAGGTACCCTAATTATTAACAACAATGTAACTTATTTGTATATCATTTAGCTATAGATCCTCCAATCATCTCTGAATTCATGTTGACACTGTGCTCCCTTCTGGAGGGTGGCTACCTTTGTTCCCCATGGTCCCTATGTGTGTTGTAAAGTAGTCCCCTCTCTAAGCTCGCTCCCGTGATGAACTACAGTCTCACATTTAGTTTACTAATTTGTATTGAGATTGTAGTCCATCATGGGAGTGAGCTTGGATCGCTGACTACTTTACAACACACACAAGGACCATGGGAAAAAAAAGTAGCCACCCTCCAGAAGGAAGGACAATGTCAGCACCAATTCAGAGATGACTTCAGGATCTACAGCTGAGTGATACACAAATCAGATACATTTCTGTTACTAGTTAAGGTACTCAAATGTATTTTAAAGATTTAACTCCTGAGTTTAATGTCACTTTAAAGAATTCAGGTAATACATTTAAAGACATCAGGGGGGGCAATCTGGAGACTCTGGCAAGTACCAGGGGTACTTGGCAAACATCTGCTGTTGTTAAAGGCTACATAGAGTTGATAAACGCAGTTTGGGAATTCTAAACTAGAATGCAGGTAATACATTTACAGATATCGGGGAACTGGCTCCTGTCTAAATTGGCCCTTGTGTGTATGGATGTGAGACAGGGACCTTAGACTGTAAGCTCCTTGAGGGTAGGGACTGATGTGAATGTGCACTGTGTAAAGCTCTGCGTAAATTGACGGCGCTATATAAATACCTGCAATAATAATAAATAACTGAGGAGAAACTGGCAAGTCCAGGGGTACTTGGCAAACATCTGCTGTTGTTCAAGACTACATAGAGTTGATAAACGCAGTTTGATAATTCTAAACTAGAATGCAGTTAATACATTTACAGATATCGGGGGCACTTTGGAGAAACGGGCAAATCCAGGGGTACTTGGCAAACATCTGCTGTTGTAGAAGGCTACATAGTGTTGGTAAAGGCTGCTTGAGAAATGTAGCTTAGTGCTACTACTCTCCAAGGTGCTGAACTGATGTCTGCCTGCTCTAAGTCTTTCTGCAGAACCTTCAACTTTCTAAGTTTCCCAAGTCCCAGAAACTGCTCCTCATGACTTACCAGAGTGTTGATTTCAGTTGCCTGTCCCAAGTGATAAACACAGGAAGCGCAATCTTTGCTGCAATCTGCTCGAATGGTCACATACAGGTACGTGGTTATGGCCAGGACTAAACAGCAGTGTCTACTAACCAGCGTTATTGACTGGAAAAAAAGAAGAGAAAAATATATAAAATCACATTACATTGTCTGTCATATACAGTCATGTTACATATATAACTTCATTTATCTGTGCTGTTAAAGGCTAAAGGTTCTATACAACTGAACCCAGTCTGTCCAAAAAGACATAGACATAAATTGATCTACTATTTGGAGATGAGTACATCTCAAGCTTTAGATGTTTTCATTGTTCCTGTGAACAGGTAACTCAACAAACTCCAATGTCTGATGGTACTCACTTGCATGGCTCCGTGTTAGCTCTGCAGCAGATGATCCACCACAGCTGCTTCAATGTGTGATTCTGTATTGGGCAGCAAAATATTTATAGAGGAACAAAGTAGTCAAGGTCTCTAGAGGAAAGAGCAAAAGAGACGAGGTGTAGCCCACGGAAGAAGTGCTCAGAAGAAGTCTTGTAGTTGGTTCCCTCCTCTACTTTTCAATGCGAGCTATAGAGAGAGTAGGGAGAGAGCAGAGAGGGAGAAGTGACAACCTCTACCAGCCTCTTCCCTTTAAATGGACGTGTGTGGTTGGGAGGTTCGCTGGAGAAATCACATCGCCGGGCTTCTTTATAATTAGTTAAAGAAGAGAGCACAGCGCTTCCCCCAATAGCCTGCAGCCTCCAGCTGACGCATCTCCTACGAAATCTCTTTGCAGATTTCACAGTCACTGTCCCATACGTTCTTCTAATTAAGCAGAGTCATAATCGCTATCATAACTGCTGGGGGAGGTTTAAGAAGCATATGGGGGGGATGGGGCATGAAAACGTGACTGTTGAATTATTGGCACTAGTTCAATAGCTATTGAGAGCATAATTGCAAGTGTCAGTGAACAGACAATAGCTACTGTATTCCAAATTAGCTATGCTGGCTTAGAGTTTTATTATTTATTTTTTGCAGGTAGACAAGTGTAATTGGATTCATGGACACGTTGCTGTGCTTTAGATAGAGTTTGAGTGTATGTGAGTGTTCTACTGTTTTTACATGATTTCGCTTTGGAAAGAGAGCACGTTGTGAACACTACGAAGTAAGGGACTTTTTTTGAGCAGTAGATTCTAGCTGCAGTTAGCATATTTGTCCTGTAGAGGGCGCCCACTCTCTACTTCATTCTGCATGGAAAACCTGCGAAGGAAAGAAGAAGATATACTTCAATGTAAGGCAATAGGGAAGCTGACAATACACCAATGGTTTTGTTTTTTGGAACCTTTGTTTGCTTTTCTTGTAGTTAATGGGGTTCAATAGATGATTGTTTTCCACTGTAGTGATGAAAAAATGAATGGAATTTTGTTTTTTGAACAAACAAAATTGTAACAGTAAATGTGGTTCGTTTGGAAAACCCCATTCGTTCCAAAATCGAATGTTAAAATGAAACAAAATTTTTAATGACATTTGTCAAGTCTCTGGTGGCATTATCAGATGTTCTTACAAGATTTTGTACCAGTGTATGGCCAGGATATTGTTAAATCTTGTATTGTATTAGAGTATAGTATTAGAGTGTAGTAGAGTATCAAAGAACAACTCCGTGAACATTTTGATTAACCCTTGTAGTGGGGTTACCCCCTGCACTGCAAGGGTTAATTGCTCATATTCGTCTCAAAAATTAAATAAAAAAAGTTCGAACCTCAGAGCCATCTGGCTGTCACAGCATTCCCTCCAGCCTCTCTCCCCCTATGCTGCAGTGTTGATATGGCCCTCGGCATCCTCACATCCTATACACTATGTATTGGACGTGATGACTCGAGGTTCCTTAGACCGCTGCAGTAGAGGGGTATCGAGGCTGGAAGGACAGGTCTAAGAGCAAGCCGGCTGGGAGGAGTGGGTGAGTAACTTTTTTTTTATTTAATCCCTAGATGAAAACGAAGAGTTAACTCTTACAGTGCGGGGGTAGCCCAACTGCAAGGGTTAATAAACAGTCTGGAGAGCTCTGCTTTAAACTCTCATGCTTTTTCAATAATGAATCCTGATCAAGCATATATACATAGCCCAGCAAAGTATCTATTTAACCACTTCCAGGCTGCAATACGTACATATACGGCGGCCCGCAGAAGTGGTGAAACCAGCTGTGTTCTTGGTATAATTTTAAACAGCCGACGATGGCTGTTCAGGTATAAGCGATCCGATGTCTATACAGCCGGATTGTTTGTACAGCGTGTGATATGTCGTCGTCCCCCCGCCGGGGCTGCCGCCGTCTTCCCCGGGCTCTGCTGTCCCCCGCAATGATCGGAGAGATCGATCAGCATCATGCTCCCAGCCGCTGATCTCTCCTCCGATCACTGGACCTGGAAGTGATGTATTACTGTACATCACTTCCGGTGTCACTGTTTACATTCTCTGGCTTAGAGCCAGGAGAAGAAGCTGGGGAAGCAGATCTCTGCTTCCTCAGCTTCTTTGGGGTCCCTAGGTGACATTAGGGGTCTGAAAGACCCCTGATGTCTCCATAAAGAGAGGCTTGTTATCCCCCATGTGATAGCAATAAAAAGTGTTTAAAATAGTAAGAAATTGCTCCGGACAGCAAGTGGTTACATTTTTGCGTGAAAACTTACAGTCATCATGTTTCAGAACAGTTCCAACTCTCTCAGCTCAGCTTCCCTGAACTTTCTGTCCAGTACAAGATTACAAGAGACAGAGCAGGCTGTAGCAGCCATCTGTCTCCTATCTTGGAGGAAGGAGGAGGAGGGGCGAGGGCAGAGAGCATTGAAGAATCAATTTTTTAATTTTTGTTTTTCAATTACATCTTTTTTTAGTATAGATCTATGTAGGTCCCAAGCATGTTTACATTCCCCTACTGTAAACGAAACGAAACGAATTTTTTGGCAGTGCACATGTCTACTGTTGACTAACTTGCTGCCTTTGCTGGAAACCTGTTCCAAGCATCAACTACTTTTGCAGTAATTGAACAGAAATAGATGGGAAATCTTCCAAAATTAGCACTGGTTTTGGTGACAACTGCCAAGTAGTTCTAAGTGTGAAGTTAGGAGCGCTTACTGTTTTACTTTCAATTTATTTCAAATCTTAATTTATTGGAAACAACAGATACAGCCAATGATTATCAGGGGTAAGCAGTCCTCCTTCTTCAGGGCTTGAACAATGATGCGTAATGCAATCCGGATAAAATTACATAGAAAACCTGAATTCAGCCTGGATGAAGCTAGTGTATTCTAACAGCATGCATGTAACTACTGTAGCTGGATCTAAACCCATCAGAATTGTCAAGAAGGATATTTCTCTTCAATTCAAAGAGATTTCCTGTCACTTCCTGTTCTGTCTATAAGACAAGAAGTGAAGGGAAATGTCTCCAGTCTAATTAGATAGTAAAAGAAAAAAACTCACAGGGGTCATAACCATTCCCTTCTTTATCATAAAATTTTTGGCCTTGGAATTACTTTGAGTGGCATATTTTTGCGCTGGACTATACAAAAATAGTACTTAGTTTGTGAATAGCCCGTACAACACCCCTTCAGTTCTACTGAACCGAAGGGGTCCTGGGGCCGAGGCTAGCCGAAGGATCGGCCGAAGCCACGGCCAGATTCTTCGGCAGCTTCGTGAATAGACCCCATAGTGTTTACAATGCAATATAATCATAACCATATATTAACAATAAATACTCAAACAGTGACAAAAGATGGTTATAAAAGTATATGTTATTATCTAACCCACATTAACTTACTGGCAATGTATGTACATAGGTTCTACAGTAAGTATGCATTTCACAATCAGGCTTATTCCAATGTACAGACAATGTTGTACATTATAAACAGAACATTCTTTACAATACATACTTGAGCCAGTCCCCACTTCTGTGACATCTCCCTTCTAGTACTGTGATATCTTGCAATGAGCAGATTATTGTCTGGAGAATTAATGGATCCAGTGTTCCCTTGCATGCTGTTCTATAGGCAGATAGTTACACATAAATATGACACTGAGATGAGCTATGAGAGCCGGAAGTGGTAGATAAGTGGATAAGGACATTGTCCACTTTATACTCTCAGACAGCTTGTGAAGCGCTATAGCATCAGTGAAGAGGAGACACAGACATGTACATTAATACTGATTTGACTGTATATTGCAAGGGGGTATGAGCTGCACAAAGCCCACTATGCAGCATCAATATTGGATGTATTATACATTTGAATGTTGTAACAAATGCCAGAAAATAGAGGTGAGTGAATCAATCTCTGGATCAGGGCAGTTTCACAAATTAGGAGAACCAGATACTTCCTAAATGTGTGCTTATTCACCTGATATGCAGTAAATTCATCTGACCTGCAATTAATTGAAAAATTCATAAACCCCAGAAAATGGATTGTCTGCGAGTTCATCATCTGCAAGTGTCTGATTGGACAAATCCCTATATTGTTAGCATTCCTGTATGAAATATGTTATTAACTTTTTATCATAATTTGCACACCAAACACCAGGCTGATAAAAGATACTCACCTGTCTTTATTCCCTACCTTTGTCTGTTTGGTTTTTACTATTGGCGCTGCATTGTGTGCATAAACACATCTAGGCACAGCTGCACAAGTAGGCACAGGCTAAATGCATCCTGCCATGTACTCTGTAGGATTCTATGCCCTGCTGCAGGTTCTATATTGTAAAATACAGTTTGGCTCTAGATGCGTTTTCCCTCTGTTCCTCTTTGTTGCTAATCTTGCCAAATGCTGAGTGAACTCATCTTACTCTGTGCCTTGTCTACTCTATTAGACTCTGATATCTGCCCTCCATTTCTGCTCCTATACTTGGATTGTGCATGTTTTAGAACTGACCCCTGGATTTTACCCGGGTACAGTAACTCCAACTTTTCTTTGTTTGAGCCTAGGGCACCATTTGATTTCTTAAGTATTGATGTCAGCCTGGTTGAACTGCCTTTGCTTGGGCCCCTCTAGGAATAGTCACACTGTTCATATTTAGCAATCTGGAGCATAAGAACTTGGGGGCATTCAACTATGGAGAAAACATCATGCTTATCCAAAATGTGATTATTAAAGGTGAAAGGAGCTAAAGCAGCAGTCATTGAATGTATACACGTGGCTCTGGTATATTGATCAGTGATGAAGTCCTATAAACTTCTGTATGTTTCAGATACTGTTTTTTTTTTAAGCAGGAGGCATGTGTCACATATCCACATATCCATTGCTTCCTTCTGTCGGTGCAAATAAGTATATACAATATTTATACTGTACTGTTGGACAGCAGATGGGGAAAGAAAGTTTGAAGGCTAAGGACAGATGATCTAAGGATTTGTCTCTTGATTTAATCAGGCTGTCTTGCTTCCTCTTGTTCTCCATATTTCTAATCTATTTATTGTGTTATCCTTCTCCTTCATGATCTTCCTGCTTATTTTCACTATGTGGGC